CCAAACTTTGTCTTCAAAATAAGGGTGCGTCTTATATTCCAAAAATATGGTATTTAGTGTTCATAGGCTATTCATTTGCAAGTATATTATGAATTATTCAAGTAATAGGTGTGAAATTTGTTGTAATATGCACACAACTGCATTACAATACATTTATAATCATTATTTTGTAGATCTTAGATAATATTACTGGGCAAGGTGAGCCATTACATTCTGATGACAGAGAAAGTGAAGGTGAAATTACAGGAGATTATAGCTTCCACATTAAATCTATTTAAGATGGAATAGCATTTTTTGACAGTTGAGATCCCAACTGTTGTGCCATTGAATATTCTATACACAATGTTGCACTACTGTGCAGTTATTTCATACATCATGGTCTGACAAAATGTATTATTTATTATCAGATATACTCTTACATTGTAAACATCAACAAATATTAAGATATTAATAAATGTCAAGCCATTCATAGTATTTTATATTAGATATACATCTTTTATATGAGAAATCAATGGCATATAAGTATTTCATAATACCATAACGATATTTTAGTAATTATTACCAATAGTTTAACCAAGTGCTATATATATTACTTATTAAACCAACATACAACTCAATTTTATAATTTCTCTCTTCATTCTATTAGTTTTGTTTTTAACAGAGTACAGAGCAATGGATCTAGTCACAAAAGTCTCTTTCTAAGGTCAAGGACTTACTCCAGGGGTATACGGTCTCTATGGACTATTCACCTCAGATAGAGATAGTGAAGGCATCTGAATAGTGTGACCTCCTCAAAACTCAGAAAATTGGTTACTGTTTTGATTAGGGACCTCAAAACTGCATACTAGTTTTTAATTTACACTTCAACTAGATGATTCAGTTATAAAACAAAATATAATGTTCATATTACATATATATTTAGATTATAGCCATTATTTGAGTGGATTAGTTTTAGGGTAAAATATAATTGTGACATATAAATATACCATATATTTTATTATTCTGTAATATTATAGTACTTATTCTGAATTTATTCTTTATTCAGTACATGTGCACGTTTCACATAAATGTGGTTGAGAAAGCGAGTAAATTGGTTTTATTTCAAGTTACCTTTGTTGTTCTCGAAGATAGCTAGTACCTGTTACCAACAAGGAGAACATTGCTTATTACAACACATTGTGTAAGAATTTTAACAGCGGTGTCCTTCAGTGGTTATTCAGGTTACAGCCCCATCAATGTTGTAACGAGAATTACCAGTCATGGGTAGAGCATGTCGCTCTTAGTAAATGCAAGGTTTATTGACAACTGAGAAACCTTGCATTTGTTTAGTCTGAAACTTCTTATTTAGTCAAATAGTTAGTCTGGAATTTTGTTTTGATATAAACAGACTGGTAGATAATCTTGAGCTGAAGAATTGAAGAGAATATCTAGTAAAAGTGGCTATCTGATGTAAGTAAACTGCAAGTACACACACTGTGTTTGTGTTCAGTGTTTCACTTTTTTCCTTTATTGTTACTACAGTTAGCATTGACTCAGTACTAAGAGTTTTCATACTACTCTGTAATTAATATCCTGAGCAAATCTCCTATTTATGTTTAGTGTATTACTTTTTTTTCCAGTATTGTTATTTCATTTAGCATCAACTTAGTAGCAAGAGTTATAGTACTACTCTGTAAACGATATATTGAGTGAATCTCCTGTTTTCTAACAGACCTGTCCAATATAGCTCTGATGTTAATGACACAACCTATTTCAAAGTAGGAACTTTCTTCATGATCTTCATACACATTTCTGGCATGAATTGTTTTGGTTTGATAACCCTGGACACTAGAAATTTTCTTATCATTCAGTGGAGGTTTATATTCCTTGTCTGATGGTGTCATGGTGTTTTGCTCACAGTATTTGAATGAATATTTGCATGTGGAGTAGCATTTATAATAAAGGCTGGGAAACAAGTTTAGCAAAAGTGGCATCACATGGCTATCTACTTAGTGGTGAATGGAGGCAAAAAGATCTCAGAGATTTTTGTGTTAGATGAGAACTTACACATGTTTATTCACTGGCTGTGTGTATACATCATAATTTTTATTGCCTTAATATATAACATAATAAAAAACAAAACACATCTCTGTAATATTCCATGTATACAATTTGCAAAATTAAAAAAGTTTTACCTATGACCTGCTTGTATCAGTAGACTTGTAGATAGTATATTAATTATCGTTAATGAATGTACAAAATATTATTATTTTTTTAAGTGTTGTTATAAAAGTTTAGTTTAGGTGTATGACTGCCAGTAAAAGTGAAATGTCACAAGAAAATTATGTTATTGGAGAACATGTAATACTGTTGTTTTGCATTGAGCATTAGAGTTTGTTGTGTTTAACTTTCATTTAAATATGAAAATACAGTTTTTAATTCTTATAACACATATTAATGTTAATTAATGGAAAATGGCCTCCAGCTCTAGTTAGCATATTGTTGCGTCAGCGAGGTCACGTGACTAGTGTCACGCCACCTGCTTTCTAGAACTATCCCGTTCCTTCGGGAGTGCTCTAGCATTTACTAGATATATGTTTGTCTGGTATATATATAAGACGCTCACAACGTGACAGGATAATGTGTGTGTAGGTAATGTGTAATTGAACTGCAGTCAGAAAGTATTGTTGAAGTTAACGTCGTTACTATAGTTTGTTATAGCGCGACTGTTGAAGTTGAGTGTATCGTAAAGTTGTATTCGGAAAGAATAAACCAGTTTTATTAAGAAAGGACTTGTGTCGCTAAAGTTTCATGGGAACGAAGTTACGGAAAATCAATTAACAAACGGCAATGTAACAATATGTTGTTCTCAGTTATGTATTTTTGAACCTCACATTTTATATACTGTGAAATATTGCACATTTTCGTTTTCTTTTTGCAAGAGAAATCTTTTTGCCAATATATACTATACTAAGATATTATAACTAATTTGGCTATATTTGTAGGATTAATTGTTTTATAAATTAGTAAGGCATTAACATTTATGTTTAATGTGTTTTATTTGCAATTATGATGACATTTTTATGAGTGATATTGATAAATATACAGTGAAGTATACTTTGATTAGTTTAATATGTTAAATTTTCTTGTACAAAATGGTCAAGATTTTAGTGAGTCAGTCAGTTAAAAAAATAAAGTATTTAAAATATGTTTCTGGATTTATATTTTAACAAAATCGGCAAATTATAAAATGGACTCAAGATTATCCATAACATGTTATATAATTGTGCTGAAACTTTGATTCAAAACTAGAGGTGACAACTGGAAACTAAAGCAATGAATGAAGACAAACCTCTTATTTATCTGGATGTTGATTTAGAAGAGAAAAGGTTTTCAGTGGGTAAGTTATTAATTAAAGATTGAAGGGTGAGATGAATGTTTGTACAATGTAGTAGTGAAGGCTATTCTGATCTTTTTTTGTGTGTCAACAGTATCAATTGATTTTATATTGCAGTTTTTGGGCACAATTAATGTTGATAATACATCAAGAAGAAAAAGAAATGCTTTTTTTTTCATGTAATGTATAAACATAACCAATAGCAAGGTTATTATAGGTGAAACATATTCAAAGAAACTAAAAGAGGTTAAAAAAAGCTAGTTGCATACCTGAATGAAGGGGAAGTTAAGATTTAGTGATATTTTACTTATGTTACAATATACTCTTGAAAATTAGAAACAAAATATCAGAAAAAATAAGCATTTTAATATACACATGGTGGGGCTAAAAATACTGTATTGTTGTTACTTCAGAAAATATTATTAAAACAATGGAAACTAGTTTAATAATTGTTTGATAAAGCTAGAAATTCAATACATTCTGAATGAAATAACTGTATGGGCAGGCTTTCTTAAGTGTCCAATTTGATGTGTTCTGGGGCACATTTTTCTGAATACATAAACATATAATAATTTCTAAATGATAGACATTGGACAGAGCTTTCCAAATATATAAATAAACAATTGTGGGGTGTTGAAAGTAACATGTTACCAGCAGAAAAATTTAATTTCAAAGCATTAATACAAACACAAAAATTGTAAGTATGACTCAAACCTTTATTGTGATTAATTAGTAAGCATTTATGTTTTGAAAATTTGTTATTAGCTGATTGTCCCATTACTTTTTTCACAGATAAAAATATCCAAAATAATATGTTGCTGTAATCATGTGTTCTACTTTATGGATGTTTATTTGCAAGACAATAATTACACATTTTTGAGTAAATAAAAAGATTACAGTCTAAAATTAATCTGGGAAGTATAGAATTTGATTTGATCATATCCCAAACACAGGGTATCAAGAGATATTTTTGGTATATCCATTTGGAGCTTATAATAAAATGAGTTTTTTTTTAGCACGTGATTTTCTTTATGCACATATCTAGTGTAGATACTCAAATTATGTCATTTTATTATATCTTTATACACAACAGCTAAGACATTTTTTGTTATCAATAACTGAAAGGGTAAGAGTAAATTACATTCTTCAATAAAAATTACTGAACGTGAAATTGCATTAACTTCTTTACGTGTTCTCTTTACTTCAGAGGGGAATATATAGAGTGCATAATGCTTTTCCTCTGCTCACTCTAGCTGATCGCCACACTCACAAGTGTGAAGCTAAACTCAATGTGGTGAATCTAAATTACCTTTAATTTGCCACAAAAGTGAATTGAAATTCATTATTACTTTTTAAAATAATCTTGAGAACTGTTGGATATACAAGATTGTTTAGTGTAGGTATTATTAGTTAATTTATTTTGTTAATTATTACATAATGATTGTTTAGTTTTTCATAACAAGAGAGTTAAAAGTCATTATTTTAATAGCGATAGTTAGTTTGGTTACGTAACTCAGTAAGAGTTGTACGTTGTGTTTGCAATTCATTGTCGTCGAGACTTAACTAATATTGTTGACATCACATTACTCGATTCTTTGTTATCTTTCTGAGGTCTCAGTGAATAAGGTATTTATATAAGTGGTGTGTGAGCACAAGTTAATAATAAGCAGAGAGAACTAAAGAAGCAAAGTTTAGTAAATTAAAGTTCAATTAGAAAATGTGAAGTTAGCTTGCATGAATAGCTGTAATGGGCGATATTTTAAAGTGAGTTTCACAGTTTAATAGAGATAAGGAGAATAATTTGTCTTGTCAAAGGGTGTTCTAAAATAATTGAATCCACCTGTGTGGACTTTAATGAAAAGAAGACAATTATTTGAAGTTCAGGATATGACTGTGATCAGACAAGGGGTAGCATAAGTGAATTATGCACTGATACTATTGTGATAAGAGAAGAGACAAATAGTTTGTCTTGCCAATTGGATTCTAAAGTAATTGAACCAGCCTGAGTGGACTTTTGACAAGAAGAGAGAGAAATATTTAGCGTTTAAGATACAACTATGATATCCATAGCATAAAGAACTTTTGTTCATATATTTAACTTATTTTGAATATATTGTTTTAAAACAAGTTGAGTGTGTGGTATCCATTTATTGTCGAATATATCACCAACAAGTAACAGACACCTACTTTAAAAGAATCCTTAGCCCGTTTATTACATAAATCTCTGACAACAACAAAGAAGCCACCACTGAATATCACATCAAAGAACATGGTACAATCAATGAGATACATTATTGAATGAAAATTTTAGACTTATGACAATTTTGTTGACAGAAAATTTAAGAAATCTGTTTTGATTCAATCCAGATGCCCTTCCATTAACAGGTACAATGCCTGGCCCCTATAATACTTTTTTTAAATGTTTTATTTTATTTATTTATATTTTTTAATTTTTACCATTATGATCAGAGATTCTAACCCATTTCACAATACTTTTAGCACACTTCATGTGTAATATTCCCTTATAATGTTGTAGTTCTATTTTCTTTTCAGTTGCTCTAATTTAAAATCAGTTTGGTACCTGTGACATTAATTGACCCTTGAAAAAAGTGTTAGCCGAAACGTCTTCATTGAACTAAGGTTGTCTATTTTTTACACAAGAACTTTTTCTTGAGACACCAAAGGGATAATTTTATCCAATCAGAGATAGCTTATACTGCATTGCTGATGTAAATTAGGCATCTCACACATGCCTAAGTTATCTATTTTTTACACAGGAACTTTTTCTTGAGAAACCAAAGGGGTAATTTTATCCAATCAGAGATAGCTTTACTTAGGTCAAATCTGAGTTCTGTAAAGATGGCGTCCCAGATTCCAAGAAAACGAAAGTGAAAAGAAATCAAACCAATATCGTCTTTTTTCCTGCCATTCCCCCCAAAAAAACAGTAATCATAACGTTTCAGGTACTCAGAAAAAGAAGTTTGATCATGACTACTCGAGAACTTGTAAGGTTCAATGGTTCTTGATTACATCAAGACTTTGTCAGAGCTTTTGTTTCTTACAAACCAGTGCATGTTTAGTACAATTTTACAATGTTGCAGTAAAACATTATTCACTATCTTAGTCATATAAATTTTTATGTAAAACAGTATTGATGATTATTGCCAGTGCAATGCTACATACTAGTAGTCATTTAGTTTATGTCTAGTCTTGTTCTTGTATTAATTTACAATGTAAAGTTCCTGAAGATAAAACTTCTTGTCTTATATATATATATATTATGTAGTATAAATGTTGATGGTGTGGTTTCTTTGATAACAGATGCCTCAAAGTTATTTTTACATTCACAGCTTCATTATACTACTATAGTACCTCAAGTATAATACATTTTTCATTCAAAAGCTTCAATATACCCACTAACATATGTTTAAAACTTTAAGCATTGTGGCTAATGACATATGTGTGTGGCTAATGCAGATTTCATTGCATTAGCCACAGTGGCTAAAGGATTTATGTGGCAAGAGTGAGCAGAGCTTTTCTCACCATATTTACTTTCCACTCATTTTCTGCAAGAAAAGTCCTTGAAAATGGGATTGCGTAACGGGTGTGTATGTCTTTAACTGTATAACTAACATTCAAATGGTGTGAATGCTGGTAGTTTTAGGTTTAAATGACTGATAAATTACAAAGCTAAATCTGTGAATGATAATTAGGGGTCTATTTATAAAAAACGATTATTGGGCATATGGTGAGATGCATGTAAAGGAGATCACCATTATAATTCAACTCCTTATATGTGTTTTGCACTTCTTAGTATAATGACAAATTATAATAAAAACTTACGTTTATAATTTGTGGAATTAGTCTAATACAAAATAACTATTCTTATTAGTCTGCTATAGCTGGATTTACTGTAGAAATGTAAAGGAGATCACATTAATTTCTACACCTGTCTTTGCTAATGTATAGAGGTGATATTCATTTTGGTGATGGGTTTCAGAAATGTATTGTTAGAATGGATGGTAAACAAAATCGGCAGCTAAAATATTACAGAAAAAAGGCAGCAGAAGGGAAAACCTTCTTACAATTTGTTTGCTTTTTGCCATTTTATTCTAGGTACAATATAATCTGGTAAAAGAGAACACATGAAAAATAATAGTCATCTTCATCAAGGTGGAAAAATATGACAGAATGTAGCCTGAGTGCTAGATTTTTGGCACAAGGTTTTTCAGTAGTTATATTTTCAAGAATTATATAAATCATATTTATAGGAGAAGATTATTTTTCAACATCTTTCACTTCAAAAATGGAAAACTTAAGAGAGCCTGGCTCGTATATTCACTTTTGCTTCACTCTGTATACTGATATAACAGCTTTAGAAATTTTTATGACTGTTTTTAAAATAAATGGTTACATATTTTTGGAGGTTTAATAAAATTGAATTTTGCATAATAGAGCAATAAAAATGGTATTTTGCAGATTAAATAAAATCAGTTTGGGCCACTAAAGCAAACAAAATAAATGGATATTTCATATTATATTACATAATGTAATTGTTGTCTTTAAAATATTAGTGAAAAAAATGGAGATTAAAAGTGTTTATACTGTTGGGAGTTTGAAGATAGACCAATGATATTCTTGCAAAAACAATATATAAAAGAGATAAACACAGAAAACAAATCACTACTAATGTTTTTTTTTGTTTGTTTGTAGTTAAGCACAAAGATACATGAAGGGCTATCTGTGCTTTGCCCACCATGGGTATCAAAACTTGGTGTCTAGCATTTTAAGTCTGCAGACATACAGTTGTGCCACTGGGGGACTACTACTAATTGTTAGAAAGTCCTTTCAGTACTTAAAAACATGTTTTAAGTGTTGGATGGAATGGAAATCAGCAGTTTTTGTTGGGTTTTTGGATGATGAAACACGTTTTAGATTATACAGAATTTGTTATACTAGCAGAAATGCCACCCAATGGTTGGTTGGCTGTTTGTGCTAGTGATTAATAATCATAGTATTCATATTCATTTAAAAAATATGTATAAAAAGTGAAATGATTCAATGTACAGAGCTAAAAGTTTTCATAAATTTGACTGATATAAACTGTAATGTTTTTATATATTAAAACTGTTAATGTTTATTGAAAAAATAATAGTAATTAGTTGTTTTAAGAACTACAGTTTCTCAGTAATACATTTAAAAATGACATCAATAAAGATATAATCAAATCCTCATGTACAGTTCTAGTGAAAGTCATGTTCTTGTTGTCAGGAGAGTACTTTTATTTAAAATTCTGTTATATTATAAAGAAATGGTTGTTGTACGTGCCATAGTTATTTTTCTATATGTCTAAATCTTGAATACCCAAAGTGTGAAATTTTTTGTGCATTTTTGTTTGTGGTGCTATTCAGTAGATGGCACAAGAGTTTTGGTTACATACATATAGATACTGACATAAACTACTACTACTACATTATAGTATGATAACTGTATATTTTATTTATTCAGAATTTGTGATTCACAGTCAGACATTACAGTTGGAAACCAAGTCAGTGGGTGAAGAAAAACTTTATGATCATCAAGATGTTGATGTACCAGAAGAAAGGTTTTCTGCAGGTAAGATTGGTTAAAGACTGAAATTTTGAATTTTTTGTAATACAGTGTAGCAGCAAATATTATTCTGATTGTACACTTGCTAGTATCATTCAATTTTATACCACAATTTTTATGCTAAGCTAGTATTAGAAAAACATCAATATGGAAATGATTTTTTTTTCTATAAATAACTAAAATGTAAAAAACAGAAACAGTGTTCAGTTCAAAATGGATGAAAAACAGCTGAAAAAGAAAAAAGAAATGTCTTATTATAAGGAAAGTATAAAAATTATGAGTGAAAGAAAGGAAGAATATCTATAATAATAAAAGGTCATGGTCTCTCTGTGTGTGTGGTTGCCATAACTCCAAGAGGTAAAAACCTTGAAACTTAAAATTTTGCACCCATACTATGCAGACCCTGAGGGTGTGCACCTGGGTATTATTACTTATCCACGTGCATGCTCACATGTGCTTGTGCATCTTTTTAATGAGGCAAGAAAAGAAGTTTGACTGCCATAGCTTTAAGAGGAAAGAACCTAGAAACCTATAATTTTGCACCCATACTAAGTGGACCCTGAGGTTGTGCACCTGGGTAGTACTTATCCATGTGCATGGGCTTACACTTCTTTTTATACAAAAAACACATAGAAAAGAAATATTTCTTCCATGGAATGTTAAAGAGTGTTTTAACTATTATGGGATGCTATAGTGTTTTTCTTTAACTATTATGGGATGTTATAGAGTGATTTTTAAACTATTGTGGGATGTTATAAGGTAATTTTAATTGTTATGGGATGTTATAGTATTTTTTTAAAACTATAATGAGATGTTATAGAGTGATTTTTTAAAACTATTATGGGATGTTATAATGGTTTTTAACTATTTTTAGCATATAGCCCATCAAAAATGACATGGCAAGTACTACCACTCCCACCCTATAGTGTACCTTGACCTCACATTTCATAGCTAACTAAAATAAATGCATTTTGCAAAATCAAACTTGACCAATAAAGAGGCAGAAAAGTGCAGCTGAGGCTATCAAACATTGGTAACTTCTTTTTAATGAGGCAAGCTAGCAAAAAACCACATAAGAAAGAAGTGGTTCCTTATAGAACAAGTTCTAATATGTAGAAAAGGCAATGCATTTTGGTAACAATGGACTCTAACAATAGCTTTTATGTCATGCTGCTTAGGAACAAAAGTATATAGGTTATTCTTTTATACTAAAATGGGTTCAGAATACACACACTATCAACCTAATAACTTGAGTAAAGTCAGGTACTTTTGCCAGTATAGTAATATGGCAACCATATTACATTTTCCATATCTAGTGCCTGTGAAGGCTTTTGCCCAATACAAGGATTCATTAGGCCAGCTGGGATAAAAGAGACATGGTAATGGTGTAGGCATTAATTATATGATTTGTTTCATTAACAACAAATGTTATGATATGAGCTTGATTAATTAAGTGAATTATTTATTATTAATTCTATTTAAGTCTTTCACAATTAAGAATTAGGGTAAGAATTAATAACACAGTATTATATATCTATTTATTTTTAACACTGATTATCTATTATTATTGGTAGTAATTTATTTGAATTAACTTTATTAACATTCAGAAGAACTGGAATACCAGTAAGTTAGTCTTTTTTGTTCCCAAAGTGGGTCAAGAAATCATAGCATCAGTGGGAGAAAACTACATTTAGTTCTAAATACTTATGAATGAAAGCAAAGAAGAATGTATAAAAATGAATACTCAACATAATAAATTCTTGAAAACTTTTCAAGGGTATCTGAAGAACATGCATTTTGAATATTATGTAATAATCAGCTTAAATTTTTGTATTTTTGAGTTTAAGTTAAATTAAGGTAATATTTTGAAAATATCCTTTCTCCTTTTTAATTTTAATGTTAACCTTAATTTAACTTAAACTCAAAAATACAAAAATTTAACATTAAAATTAAAAAGGAGAAAGGATATTTTCAAGATATTAAAAGTTTATCAAACCTCCATGTTAACTAAACAATATACAGAAGAAAACTGGAAAATATTCTACTAAGACTTAGTATTTGATTTAATTCAATTATTAGTAAGTAGTGATGGAAAGTATTGAGTAAGATTGGTAAACACTTGATGAAATTATATTAGAATAAGTAGACAAAAAATATATATAGGCATAATTCTCAGAAATCCAAGAATATATGAAACAAGGAACACAAATATCATGACTATTAATGTGATTGATGCATTCAGATAACTATGTCTCTGTTTTTTTTTTAAATACATGACACAGCACCTTAAGATTAGAAATTATTTGAAAGGAGGGGATAGCTGGGTGTTGAGCATAAATGACTGGAAACAATGAATCAAAACTCAAAACTAATTTCAAACAGCAACTAACTACAGTATTA